AAGCCTGAGTTCTTCGGTAGCGTCTAGAGAAGCTACTCTGATCGGCAGTTGCATTATATTGGGGTTCATGCCATGTCGCGCATGGAATGGTGTCCTTGCAAGCATTTCCGGTGGGCAACCCCGAGGCTACACTATGTGCAGTCTGCACTAATTCCCAGCCAGCACATATTAACTTAGACGACTGACAACTACTATTATTCTTGGCCATTTCCACATTTAAATAACCCAGCATGCCGGAAAGCAACTAATGAAATACAACTAAACCATCTCGATAAAAACTCCACAAACTTTCTTTCTCCATCATTCGTCGTATTCGTACAAATTTCTGCAGTGTAGAATGGTTCTTTTTGAAAGACTCTCCAGAAATTCTAGCTCCCTGTGAAACTAAGCATAATTCTTCAATCCCCTCTTGTGAATTCTCGGTTCCTGGTTATCTGTCTTCATTTATGAAGGACTCTAGTGTCCACATGCATGTCCTTGGTGTTTATGTTCGGGAACATCTCACACTGGCTAGGGAACTTTCTCTTGAGTGTCCAGACCATTCTTACATGTGCCTCCGTATCTGTCGACTAAACTCAGTCAGCTGTCTCTTCTTCCTCTATCGACCCCACACTTCCTTGCAAGACTGTTGCGTGTTAGATCGTATTTATGATAGTAAAGATAAAGTCCCTTTCTTTACACCCGTTTGCAAATATCTTTGTGTTAGGCGACTTCAATGTCCATCATATCAAGTGGCTTAATCATTTTATCATTGACCTCACTGGCATCAAGACCTTTAACTTTATCACTCAATCTCTCACGCAAGTTGTAGAATCCCCCACGCGTTTCCCCAGTAATCCTGGTGGTTACCCTTCTCTACTTGATCTCTTCCTTATCTCTACGCATGACTCATAGCTACTCTCTGTAGCTCTATCTTCTTGACAACTCCGATCATGCAGTGGTGTCAGTAGATATGCATTTCCGCTCTCCCATCAGCCATCAACCATCAACCTCTCATCAACAGAATATCTGTTATCAACGCACTGATTGGGACTAGTTCCATGACTTCCTTTGCGATGTCCCTTGGAATTATGTTTTTAATCCTCCTGTTCATAAATGTGTCACTGTGGTCTCCTCCTGGAGGAAAGCCGACATTGAATCTTTCATTCCTGCACGGAAATACTAAGTGAAACCGCGACCATCTCTTTGTTTCTCATCTACCTACTCAGCCATTATAGGCCACAGGAATCACTTCTTCCGGCTATACCAGAGTGACAGGTCTCATTGTAACAGACATCTCTTTGCCACTGGTCGTAACGAGTGCAAGTGTGTCCTCAAAGAAGCAAAGTCACCATTTACTGATAGAATGAAAGAATGTATAGTGTCTGACGAGTTTGATTCGAAAGATGGCTCTGCAAGAATGCACTGAACAATGGCAAACTTTCAGTCACCCCTCTCTACAGTCAATTTGAAGTACTGACATCAAGTGCATATAAGGTAGAGTACCCTTGCCAGATCTACCCAGTAGCACGGGGGCTCTACTGAGTGATATGTATATAACCCCATCACTTGTTTCAGGTATCATTTCTAAATTAGATCCCACCCCCAAGGGAAGTGGATGTGACAGGTTTCCTGTCGTCGTAACCTAAAGAAATGTGCTTCTGAGCTGGGTCCGGTGTTCTCCAAACTTTATAACAATTGTCTCTCTGCTTTCTGCTTTCCAGCTTGTTAGAAGTCTTCCCCTGTAGTTCCTGTTTTTAAGAACTTTAACTTGCTCAAATTATTACCCAATTAGTGTCTTACTGATTTTTGGCGAAATAATCGATGCTCTAATCAATGCCGAAATGGCTAAACATCATACTTCGCACGGCCTCCTTTCGGACAAACAACATGGCTTCCGTTTCGCCAGGTCTACCGCCGATGTGTTAACGGCCATCATTGAATTTGTCTATCAAGCTCTCGATAAGAATGACCATGTGCGAGCTGTGGCTCTAGATATTTCGAAGGATTTTGATAGGGTATAGCATGATGGCATTCTACGCATGTTCCAGGGCTCCAGGGAATATTTGATTTAATCTAATCGTTCCTAACAAATCGTGTTGAACGGTCTCGCTTCCAGATATTTTCATATGAAAGCGGAGGTTCCCCAGAGCTCTGTCCTGGGATCTACGCTGTTTCTGATCTTCGTCAATGATCTTTCAGATGTCATCAGTTCTCAACTACGTATTTCTGCAGATGATACTACCATGTACTTCTGTGTTCAAATGCGACGTATTTGATAAAATAAACCTGGTAACTGCTCTTGAAAATAACCTTCAATCAGTGGTTAATTGGGGCAAAATGGCCTGTAAATTTTAACTACTCCAAAACAAAACTGTTTTCATTTAACCTATTCTGTATGCCATCAGCATGGCTGATTCTAGACTCAAGGGGAGCCCAACACCCACCTTCTTGGCCTCACGTTTTCCACTGACATGAAGTGGAGCGACTATATCGAATCAATTGCTTCTTCTACTGCAAGAAAAATTGGTTCACTGTGTCGTCCTAGAGAATTTTTCTCGACAGAATGCATCTTACACATTTATAAACCTACCATTCGTCCGTACATTGAATACTGCTGCTATATCTGGTCTGGTGTTTCTGCTGTACTTCAAAGAAGGAACTTTAATGTAATCAGGCATCTCGATTTCAGCCACTTCCTCACCTACATGACCTGACTTCCCCCGTCTTTTCTAGAAATAGTTTAATGGCAACTGCTCTGCCGAGCTTTTTTCCTTAACTACAGGAATTTAAGCGTGCTACTAGATTGGCAACTAGGTCTCACCGTTTTACTGTTGAACTAGCTAAATTCCACCACCACTTCTACTCCAACAGTTTCTTTTCTCAAACTTCCCACCAGTGGAACTCCCTTCCGTTTTCTTGCTTCCCTGATAACTGCAATCTTAAAAAAATTAAATGCTACGTCAATCTTCTGTTTTCTTCAACCTTGTTCATCTTTTCTTCTTTCCTCAATCTTCTCATTCTCTTTAACGTGCACTTCTTGTAACTTCGTTTGGGGCGAAATTAAAAAGAAAAGTAACAAATAGGAAAAAAAAAAGAAAGGATAAAATTTGTGTTAATATTAGCGTGCTTTTATCTGTTCTGATGTTTCTTCTTTTTTGTACTTTTTGCTTCATTTGCTGTTACTCTTCTGAGAAAAATGAACGATAAAAATAGAAACTTGACTTACTTTTCAGCAAGGGAATGCAGTGACCCCATTGTCATTTTCTAGACAAGTATGGACGCGGATGGAAATACTGAATGCAAATATACCACATGCGTCCAGAAATTTATTGGCAAAAATTAAAAATTGCAAGCGGACCTCTTATACATGCTAAATACATATATACATGAGCGCGCGCGCACACACACACACACACACACACACACACACACACACACACACACACACAGAGCTACCTCAGCTTCTGAAGTTACACCGACGTATCCATACTTTCAAACATGTCTCATTGAACAGTTGAACAAATTTGATTTATATATTTGATGTATTCAATTTTATTAAATAAAAATCCAGTTGTATTGAAAAAAGTTATAAATGCTTTTTGATGTTATTCAATAATGGTATAAAAGAACAAACACGATCAAAATTTAAATGTAAATAAATGCAAGCAAAAGAAAATGAATGCAGTGCATGAAAAAATTGTGTATCTGCAAAGTTTTTTTTATTGCAATTAAATTTATGAAATAGAAAATCACGAATGAAAACAGTAGGTATCTCTAATACATACATATATATATATATATATATATATATATATATATATATATATATATATATGTGTGTGTGTGTGTGTGTAAAATGTGTATGTATATAAATATATATATGCACTTTTTATATATATTACTTATATATTATATATGCACAATACTTATTGGAAAGCGCTCAATATCAGTGCTAGAGCTAACATATTTAGTTGGATTGATGTGGGTTTGTGACCCTGGGTTTCACGCTCTCTGCGATCGTCAGACAAACACACATATTAGATGCATTTAGATATCAAATATTAGTCTAAACATGTTTCATTAAATAATATATATATATATATATATATATATATATATATATATATATATATATATATATGTATACACTATGATCCTAATGTTACTATGTCCCTTATATTGCTTATTAATAAGCAGCATAAGGATCATAGTGGCATTAGATGCCTACTCACAAAAAATACCAAATGCTTGTAGAATCAAATAGCAAAAACAGACTTATGATCCTTGAAGTAATGCAACAAAAACACATCATCAATAAATAAAAACAATTATAACTTAAGAACCCTCATCCTCAAATGTATATAAATAATAATAATAATAATAATAATAATAATAATAAAGACGCTATTCATTTAAAGGGGGATTTTTCATCCAACACTTCTTCAGAAAGATTCGTTGGAACGACAGTAATCAAAACGGCGAAACTGAAAAAGGCAGACACGGTTGTAAATAAGGAGTCAAGACTAAAATAAATTTATAACTAAAAAAACATTTATATATATATATATATATATATATATATATATATATATATATGTATGTATGTATGTGTGTGATAAGATATAGTTTTAAGGTATGCTATATTAAAGTGCTCAATAACATGGATAGAGCGTATGTAAATATAAAAGTAGACATTGAGGTCAACACCCAATGACGACAGTCCGTTTCATGCTTAAACGCTTAAAAGTAAAACACACGCACATATATATATATGTGTGTGTGTGTGTGTGTCTGTGTGTGTGTGTGCACGCATGTATGTGTCTGTGTATATATGTATTTAAGTGTATGATATATGAGTGTATCAAAGTTCAATTTATATAATCTGTTGCTATTGTAAGTCAACTTAGGGGTCAGAAAATAAACTAAGAGTTGGTCAGAATTTTGCAAGCGCTACTTGCCGAGAATTATTTTCTTACACCTCCGTACAACTTTGAATTTTTATTTTTTGCTGTTATTAGAATTTTCACTGATATTCTTTCTCTCTATCTATCTATCTATCTATCTATCTATCTATCTACCAGTATGTATGTGTATAAAAATCAAGTTTTGAGTTAATAAGAGTTTGAACGCATTTAATAAATCCTATTCATGTTATTACGGGATAAAAACATAGCACATATATAATAGAAATATATTATATAACATACAAAAATATTATGTCACATACAAAAATATACCACACAAATTATACAATATCATACAACAATATAATATACAATGTCACATATAAAATATATATATATAATATATACCGCAATTCAATTTCATATATTATGCATCAAACCATTGTGGATGTGCGGGTGGCGTAACCATTATCGAGACTAGAAGTGAAATCGGTGAACTAAGTTCAAATTTCAGCCTATTCTGTTATGTTTACTTTCATATAAATACTATTCGAAAAGGCATGAATCGAGCTTTTCCCTCACCAGCTATGAGCATAACATCAGTGTAGACTTGGTTATCTAATCTTGGATGGTAGCCTGTCTAGGAGAAAGACAACCCTAGAATCTAAACCGTAGCAAAGGCAGCGGGAAACTACACCACTATCTTTCCCAAAATCCATAGCAGTTCACAGATGATAAAGGAAAGAAATTTGTGAAGAGCTATGATCTTTTATATTCTGAAGGTACATGGCATTAAGAAAACAATTGTCGTAACAGCAAAAATAACAAAATGAGATCATTAGTCTGATCAAATTGAATGATAATGACTCAAAATGGTAGAATGCATATTATCTGTTTATTTCTAAATACTGATGGTGTTAATAATTTTTCGAACTTTTTATAAACCATATTACTCAGCTTCATTGTATTATATAGCTTTATCTGCATATGAAGAATAAATAGAGAAATAAAACAAACAGGATCTTTCATACAAAACTGTTAGTACTCTTTCGTTCAATTCATTGATCCGTAGCCCACATCAATGATCACTTCACTCATCCTACTGTGCGACCTATGTCACTCTAGCCATTACTTCATCAACAGTGAACCATTAAAAAGAAAAGAAAAGGAAACAGATAGACACCCTCCAGCCAACATCACCACCGTTCTGCGGTTCACACTTGACTTTTTCCACTTGGCAACTTTTGCTGAAGCAGATTCATTGTTTTTGCAAATCTTCGTTCTCTTTCTGACTTTCGCGTCGTTTTTTCTCTCTTGACATTTTGCATAGGGCTCGAGTTGAATGCAGAAGAAGAGTCCCCAGTTGTTGGTCCCATCATCCTATTCTCCCCCTTTCTTCGACGGGAGAGTTTTTTTCACGTTGGTAAAATAAACTGGAACAACTCTACGTTAACCGATTATTCTTCCAACGAACGCTTCCACGATACACTTCTTCATATCCCGTCGATTTTGAACATCTACTGCAACATAGTTTTATACACTTCATGTACACGACTCAACAGTCGACAGCTGGAAATGTATCTATATATTTTGGGTGCGTTCTAATCGCGTACATAAGTATATTCTAACAGTATACATTGTAACTGTACATCCTAACAGTGTAAATTCTAATGATACATTCCAAAAGTGTACATTCTCATAGTGTAGAGTCTAGCAGTACATTCTAACAATGTCCATTCGAATTGTACATTCTAACCGTGTACATTCTCACAGTACACCGTCTAATTCTAACAGTGTAAATTCTAATTGTACATTCTAACAGTGTACATTCCAATAATGCACAGTATGGCTTCACATTCTAACAGTATACATTCTAATTGTACATTCTAACAGTGTACATTATAAGAGTGTACCGTTTAACTGTACATTTTAACACTATACATTCTAATTGTACATTGTAACAGTGTACAGTCTGACAGTGTAAAGTCTAATTTTATATTCTAACAGTTCACATTCTAATTGCACATCGTAACAATTTACCTAACTATACATTCGAACTGTATACATTATAAGTATATATTAGAATGTACACTTTTAGAATATATTCTTGTTGACGAAAAATCCACCAGTAGCTTCTAATTTTCTCCACACCTTGCGAGCATTTTAGGATAAAACGTTTCATTTGAATATTTAATAAAAGGTATGGTTGGAATAATTTGTCCTGGGTAGATTTTCTCTAAAATGAATAATTGTCTTGGTAAACGCAAAGGTGTGTACTATCGGCGTTGGGTAATGGTTGGCAAAAATATGCTTGTTGATCATTACAACTGAGTTGAGTACAGTTTTATTACTGTGTGTTCCATACAAAAATTTGACATTTAATAAGCCAACAACAAGCGTTGAAATGTGGCACCTTGCATTATTAGAAATATTCATAGAAATATGATTTAATTTTTTTTACTCGGTTTACTAAACAGGTTGTTGATTTTTTTTAACGGAAAATAATTGAGTTGAAAATAATTCACTAAGATTGTACTTAGACGATCCTAAAAGAAAAAGAAAAGAAAGAGGAAGAAAAGAAAAAAAAAAGAAAGAGAGTTGGATGATGCATGACCCAGTCATAAGCGAAGATAAGTGTCAGAAAGATATCTTGGCCTGCGTGTGGCCGAATTTTAAAGGACAATAGAGAATTGTTATTTGAAATGAAAAATCATTAAGAGGAAGAAAAGAACCAGGCTTGATGACAGTGTTTTGGCAATTGATAAGAAAATCGGTCAAAGCACCTAGCCTACTTTTGCGTGGAAAGACTCATTGTCAAATTGGAAAAAAGGAAATTCTTTTTTTAGAACAATAGAAACGAAATTTTTTTTTTTAATCGGAGAAAAAGTGTCTTTTGGGTTGAGGGGAGTGACCGGTGGAACTATATACAGATTCTGACCTATTAAGAATTGGAAACCCATGATAACAAAGTGGGGACATTTTCAATGTAGATAATTAAGATTTTCTGACTGTCGGGTCTGACAAAAACAAGAGGTGAAAAAAAACGATTGTCTCAGTTCACAGATAGCGCCAATATTCTTCCCTGAAGTCACATCTAATTAGCGGCAGGCTGTTTTGACAGAGCCCAGGTGAGAAAAAGCCAAGATTGTCATTTTTCGTACGTGCAAAAAAGGCAAAATTAGATTTTGTTTTTTTTAAAACAAGAACGATGTAACCACGCCCGAAAGGAGGAGAAAGGATGCTCGATCAATAACAGTTGGTCGGAAACGGTCACGTGGCATGCGGAAAAGAAGAGAAAGAAGTGCTCGATCAGGAATCATTGGTCGAGAGCGGTCACCTGACATACGAGGGACCGGGAAAGATGGGTGTGCGCCTCCCCACCAAGGGCACTGTGAGGAAGTAGGGGTGAAAACAATAGCGATAATGAGAAGACAGAAATACGGCAGTTATTGGAATTATTGAGAAACCCCTGACGCCGACAGACCCACCCCGGTTTGTTGCGGCGTCAATAAAAGCAGGACCCCTGTCGACAGAAATCAGTTGGAGTGGAGTTGCAGCTGGACCGCGGGCAGGGAAAGAGCCTGAACGCGGGCATCGGGCCCGATTCACTCGCCCCTTTGCGGGCAAAAGAATCCTCAGACAAGAAATCCTTCCAGCCCAAGTCGAAGACAAGAGAACTTCCAGCCCAAGCAGACGAAGAAGAAGATTACCCGAAAGCCGCAGAGAAGTTGCACCCAAGTCGAAGACAAGAGAACTTCCAGCCCAAGCAGACGAAGAAGAAGATTACTCGAGAGCCGCAGAGAAGTTGCAGCCAAGTCGAAGACAAGAGAAGTTGCAGCCAAGTCGAAGACAAGAGAAGTTGCAGCCAAGTCGAAGACAAGAGAAGTTCTATCTTAGTCGACGAAGAAGAAGAAATACAACTCAAGTCGAAGAGAAGAATCAACTGCGAATGATCGATAGAAATTAGCCCCAGTGTCGAACTAGACCACACTCCGACATACATAATTCTGAAGAGTAGACAACTCGAAATCTTTAAGTTGTATGATAGAGGCTTGGTGCCATAGTCCACAGAGCGGGTCGGGAAATAAGAACAATTTTTTCTCTATGCAACGGACATTAGATATAAAAGGGTTGTCACCCTTTTTATCAGTAATTTTTGTCTCGTGAGTTTTTTTTTCTTTTACTTGTGTTTTGCCACCCCGTCGGACTCAACTTGTATCGGCCCCAATCCCTGCTGGTCCCGTCTGTCTAAGATCTAAACACAACGTGGGTAGACAGACCGGAGATCAGTACAGTTGCTTCAGTAACCAGGTATTGGAAGCGAGTTGGGAAAGGCGAGGCTGGTGATCATCCAACCAAGGGGTTGGAGCGGCACGCTTGGAACCAGGAGGAGCGACCAGGAGGAGCGACGTCACAGTTGGCGCCGTAACCAAGGGATTCGACCCTGGGCCAGGTGTGTAACCGTCACAAAATGTCGTAAAATCAATTACCCAACCATCTAACCACGCAAAAATCCAATCCATTAGTTCTTTATTGCCTAAATTTGTGTTCATTTCCTGTATTTCAAGTTACCATATTGTAACAATTAAAATTTCTCAGTTCATTTTTCTAAAGTTGATGTCAATTTGTTTTGGAAATAAACAGAATGTTTTTACGATGTATTGAAAAGTTTACAGTTTGACCCATTTTCCAAAATCTGAACAAATGATGTTTTGAAAGGGCTTCTTGGCCGGACCGTGAACTTTTCAGCACCTTTAAGCATGAAGGTTAAAGTGAAACTGTTAATTCTGTCTGTTCATGATAGATGTTCGTTTTGCGCCGTTTTGGTGATCATTGAAAGCCTGTAAGATTCACAATAGTTTGATAAATATTGTAAATCTTAAAGGCTTTCAATGATTAATTAACTCGGCTTGGCGACTTCTACACGTTGCTTTTAACTCTTCTACTTGTGTACCGACAATCATTCCGTTCACAGTCAAAGAAAATCCAAATTAAAACATTTTGTCTGCGAAAGAAAACTAGCTGTACATAATCTTCTTGAATATAAAATAAAAATGCTTGATTTGATTTTTGATTGACAAGATTCGTATTAAAGTATAAATGTACCAATAAGTCTGTAGTTTTAAGATGAAATTTATTTTGTAAAATAATATCTTTCATTCCTTGTCAATGCACCTAACTCTACGATTTTCACATAGATCGAACATTATACAGGGAAAATTTCAGATCCAAATAACTACATGTCAATCTATATTTCTGAGATGAGGTATTGTAACTATTTACATTTTCGGACTGTTGTCCTTATCTTTATTGTCATATTCACGTCGTTTCGGCCCATGTATGATCCAGACTTCTTCAGGTGATATACGCTGGAATTTCGAAGGGAACTCTTTATTTAATCCAAGAGCATATGACCCAGTGGATAGAAGCGTTGGTTGAAGTAATCCAAAAGCGACTTGATCCAAAGAGATGTGAGTTCAATCCCTGGCCACAGCAGAGGTGAACAAAACCTTGGAGAGTTGAGTTACTAAAAGGAAATGACTGAAAAGTGAGATATCCAGAAAAGACGTGAAACTAGAACAATCTATCCCCGCGGACTAAGTAAAGGGTTCGATTCGAAATTCCAACGTATATCACCTGAACAAGGCGGGAGCCTACAACGGCTGAAACGTCGTGGATATGACAATAAAGATGAGGGCAATAGTTCGAACAATTTAGATAGGGTAAACTACATGTCAGGCTGAGTATTTATCGACGCGTCTTCATATGTACATCTTTTACAAATTACATTCTACTTTTTATAGGTATTTAGCTTAGTCTGGCACAAGGACAAAAGGGTAGAGAACCTAGTAATTTCGCCATCTGTTAGGTTACCTTGCTGTTATATTACAGCTTGACTCCACTACCTTTTGGCTGAGATCAGTCATGTTTCATCTTCAGGTGAAACCCTAAAGTGTGCCTAGTCCTGGAGATTCCAACCTTGGGTTAGTTGGCCTCCATTGCACTAAAAGTGAAGATCCTATGTTGTGCTGACGTTTTTTTTTATTGCACTGACTGTAAAGACTTAAAACTTTATGAATTCATCCCAATATAAATCTGTATGTTTTCCATACTAAATAAAGACCTTGTGCTGCATTATTTTCGTATGTTGGCATGGCTAAATACATTACGACGTAGCACCCTGCTTTAGATATCTTTAAATAATATAGTCTATTAGGACCAACGCATTAACATTTCGATTTCTTTTATTACCAAAAACTTATTTTCTTCATTTTTTTTATTATTATTATCTATTCTTACCTGTTGACTGGAGGACCTCTTCTGACCGGATAGCTTTTCAAATATGTCTGCTTATGCAGCTGTAAAGCGTTAAGTGTTCTCTTTTGTTTGTTCAGTTACGTCCAATAAAATAGACAATAGAGTCCTTTAAAAACTTCAAACATGGCGACATTTGAGGAAAAAAATGAAGCTTTTCTTTATTCCTCTGTATACATATTTTTTTATTTTTTTTACTTTTCACTCATCTTTCACCAGTCACCGACTTTTCTTTCCAGATTAAATGGACGAAGAAAAGTGTTTACCGGCATATACATTTGTATAAAAGA